AAGATGTTCTCGTCCGTGTAGCTTTCTGTGGCCACCCATGCTTTGTTAGCCGCTGTCCCCGATCTGCCCACGTTACTTGATTTCGAACGAATGCGCAAAAGCTCAAGACGTTACGAACCTTAGGGATGGGATGTTTGCCGGGTGCGAATGGGAGCCCGTCCAAAAACTGACATACGAAGCGTCTACGTCCCAAGCCAAATACTTACAATCAAATGGACATCAGCACTATTTACCCTTTGCTGCCCCAGCCTTCCAAAACAAGCCAATTTTTGACCGGCTTTTTTCTGCAGTATTGGCTAAAAATTTGTTCCCTGGGGTAGTTTGACCTCCTGAACATATCACATCCGCTCGGCACGGAACCTCCTGGCGCCCGCGCCACAGGCGCCGGCGCCAAAATATCTAAATCACCAAATTCGCTGAAAACTTGTTCCCAGGGGTAGTCTGACCTCCTGAACACGAATATCACATCCGCTCAACCCGAAACCTCCTAGCGCCCGCGCTACAGGCGCTGGCGCCAAAACGCCCAAATCATCGGCGCCTATGGCGCGGGCGCCAGGAAGTTTCAGGCCAAGCGGATGTGATATTCGTATTCAGGAGGTCAAACTACCTCAGGAGACAACATTTGAGCCAAATCTGTCCACGGAGAAAAAAGTCGGTCAAAAACTGGCTCAATTCTGGATGATTGGGGCAGTAAAGGGTAAATAGTGCCTGTCCATGTAATCCCTTTCCAGACTACATAGGCATAAAGAAATGACAGCAAATTTGCGATCTCGATAACCAGCCTTTTTAAATCCTCCTAAAACAATGGAAAAATCGCCAATTTTCATCCATTGTTTACCAATGGCAATCTTCTTTCATTAGCTAGGGGTTTCCCGTATGCCCTGTTGTAATGCTCTAGGCGCACCGTGGCACGAGGACAAAGTTCGAAAATATTTACCTCGTTTTGTGACCTCTTCGGACACAGGGCATCAATCTCGTCGAAAAATATAACACATGGTGACGAATCTCGTGCTCGTTGAAATACTGTTCGCACTGCACGTTCACTTTCTCCAACATACTGAAATCAAGGACAAACCAACTTGATAAAAAAAAACAAAGCTTCGAACAAAGTAAACAATACCGAAATGCAGCTTTGAAGTTCAAAATTTTTAAATTTTTCAATCGCTCCAATATATGACGATGTTGTGAACCTTTACACTATTACAGAACTCGCACTGGCCATGATCGCCAGTGTTCAATGTCATTAGAGTCTTGACACCAGGTGAGTTTCGAACCCGCACCTCGTGCTTTCTGAGCGACTGCACTATTCGTAAAGCCACCAGGGCGGCTATTACCGTCTCAGCTTATTATTATCGTGAGCACACCGGGTTATTGTGCTCGAGATCATAATAAAATAGCCCTGTAAAAGCCCTCGTGTCT